CTTGGAATCTAGGACTATTGCTACCATGGGAGACACTCTTGGTAACTCTTGGGGAATGAACAGGGTGATGACTGAAGAAAAAGCTTTCTCAAAGCTTTAATTCCTTTCTTATTTTTTTGAAAACAAGCAATTGCTTGTGTAAAATGTAAAGTGGAACAGTTCTGTATGGGTGTGTCTCTATTGTAAAGGTCTTTGAATGCAAAGTCAAAACAATATGGGACACTGAATTACAATGTGCCACCGAGAGGAAACATCCTGAGTTCTGTTATTTATTTCCCTATAGCTTCAAAAGGCCTGCTGGATGCTGCTCATTTTTGTTACCTTATGGCCCAAGTTGGTTTTGGAGTTTACACAAGGAAGACAACAAAGCTTGTCCTAATTGGATCAAATCATAGGTTTGGATTTGCCTTTTTTTTTTCTTTTTTTCTTGTTTTTAAAACACAACTTTTTAGATGCAAAAACGAAAGCATAATGGCTTGAGAGACTGAGTTGCACTGCTCCCCTTATCACTAGCCACAGCTGGTTTTGAGATAACTATTTGATGCCCTGCCTTTTTTTGAGGAGTAGAAGTTTATTGGTATTGTATGTCTAATGGAGCTATGTTTCTGATTTTCTTTATTTATTGTCAGCATATATAATCTCAGTGTTAAATAATATTTTTTCTTCTCCCATTCTCGAATAGCTTGCCCTTTTTTAAGTTTGCCACCAATGAAGCCATTCAAAGAACAGAAGCCTATGAATATGCACAGTCACTAGGAACTCAGCCTGGCTGCTTGCCCAATTTCCAGGTGAAGAGCTGTTTGTTTTGGGGTTTTTTTTGGAAGATTTTATGCAAGGTCTTAATCTCTCATGTGCTGTATTCAGCACAGCAAATATTTTATCTATTGTAACATGAAATATTCCTAAATACTGTAGTGCAAGGTAGCCTTTTTTTTTTTCAGTTGTCACTTAAATCTCCTTTTTGCATTTTTATCTGTACTTTCTGAACTTCTGAATTTTAAATTTTGTTGTTCTCGTAACTATATTACAAGGGAAAAGCCCAGCAGAATGTGTTGGCACTAGCTGTAGACAAATAGAGAACTTCCATTGGATAAATTGGGTGGAAGAGGAGAATTGAATGCTTTTTCCCCTTTTTTTTTTTTTTTTTTTTTTTCTGCCTCGTGTAGATGTGATGATGGGATATCTGAGCTTTCAACTGAAATGACAGACTGCCTTTCATTTGATACTTCTAAGAATGTTCTGATCACTTGATTTATTTCACCTGCTTGCATTCCATAGGTTTTCAAATTCATCTATGCTTGCCGGCTAGCTGAAATGGGACTTGCTGCTCAGGCTTTCCATTATTGTGAAGTGATTTCCAGAACTGTCCTTAAAGATCCACGTTACTATTCACCTGTACTTATTGGCCAGCTAATCCAGGTAACATAAGGAAGAATTAAGAATTTGTGGCTTCATATTGTAGGTGGTAAGCTGTGGCTAAAGTTGCCTTTTGTTGGCTGTTTAACTTAAATTTACAATGATTCATTTCTCTAGATGTCATCGCAGCTACGCCTGTTTGACCCACAGATAAAAGAAAAACCAGAACAGGAATCTTTTATTGAACCTTCCTGGTTAGTAAGGCTTCGACATGTGGATGGACAGATCAAGGTACAGAATGTACTTTTCAACACGAAAAATATTCTCTTTGAAGGATTAGTATAAATCTAGTTTTTTTAAAACGTTTTGTTTATACTGCTAATTACAGAAACATATGAAGTGACCTTATGATATATTCATGTCATGAAGTACAGATGTTATGATTTAAACCAAGCGGATTTACCACACTTCAGTGCCCTAAGATTCAATACAGAACAGTCAGTGGTGTACATTATATGAGACAGGCTTTTCTTAGTACTTTAATGCAAGGAGAATTGCAAGGCTCATTAGGTTGCAGTAATTCCTGCTGTAAGCAGAGAACCTGCTTGCTAGGAAATAAAATTGTGTCTGAAATAGTGTAGCTAAATTGTAACAGTGGAAATAACTACCATTTATTTAGAGATCTGTTAGAAATTTAAACTTTGACCTAATTAATTAAGCTTCGATTTAAAAAAACAAAAGCCAAACACCCCCTGAATCTCCCCCAAACAAACAAAAACTTTAAATGTTTTGATTGAACTTGGCCTGAAAATGGCTGTCAACTCATTTTTTGACTAAAAACTAAAAAAACCTGTGTGCTATTTTTCCTCTTAAGATTTCCTTTGCTATATGTTCCCTTGGTTATGAATTTAATGTCTGGTACAGTTAATAAGATCTTGCTTTCTTGTGCAGGAGGGTGCAATAGCTTATAACACAGACAGATCCACCCCACCAACGTATGAATGTAGTACACCAAGCTCTGAATTAGACCATGCTAGTCAATGTGATGGAGCAGGAGTTGGCCGTGACATGGGTCCAGGTGCTGAAAATGCATTGTTAGCATCCTTATTACCCAATATGGCTCAACAGATGCAAAGTGTGCAGCTGATGCCTTCAGGTTAGTGTTTCATATCCTTCTTGATGACAGAGAGAAAATAAACATTTCATGTTTCTGGTACAAGAAGCCACTTAAGAGGGTGGTAGAAACAGTGAGATTTCACTTCTGCATTGTATCGTTTTATTCATAGGGTAAAAGGTTCACACAGCAGAATTTCTGTTTAGTTATAACTAAGCTTTTTTTTTCTGTGCTGCAGTACCTCAGGCTGTCCTTGATGGGTCAGCTGCTGTCATTCCTCCTGGTGACAAGGAAGCTGCCCGAAGTGTCCCTTTCTATTCAGTGGCTTCTCAGCCTATTGGTCCAGGACCTGGATTTGCACCTCCAGGATTTTCAAATCCGTATGGAACTGAACCATCACCACTGTATTTGGGGTCAGCACTACCACCAGGAGGGCCACCACAAGAAATTGAACCACGGCCAGAAGAGCAGACAAACCTGGAAGCAGGTCTGGAATCTTAGTCAACAGCTTTCCTTCCTTATAAGGAGAAATAAGTATTTTGGATAATAATGCAGATTATCCCAGTATTTAGAAAATAGTACGTCAAGCCTTGGGTAATGCAATGTAAAAATGCCAGATAATGATACAGAAACATCTGTGGAAAGTTATAGTATTCATCCTGCTTATTTGGCTTAGTTTAGAAGAGAGGTCAGATTCAGCAGATTATGATTTATACCTTCACAGGTAATCACTGAGTGCACTAGGATTGGCTGTTCCATTTGCAAAGTCTGTGATTGGAACCTCAGGAATTTCTGCTGCTGGACATCAGTTTTTAGGACCCTGATAAGTTTGAATTCGGTGACAGCAGAACCTGATACGTGTGAAGGCAGACATACACAAGTTTGGCAGAGCTGCGTTAGAAATGTGAAGAACCTTAAACTGCCCCGTAGTGATGGTTGCATCCCTCAGCCTGTTCTGACCTGTGTTTTGGAACAAACATAATACCCTTGCAGGAGAGGGAAAATAATAAAAATGACAGCAACCTACAGTTCACATTCTTTAAAAGACATGGTCCTTTCTAGCACAAAATTCATAACTAGTGAAAACTTTTGCCTGAAAAGTGTTGCTGTGGAGTTTGGGGACTTCTTGGTTTTATTGTTGTGTGTCCCTCCGCTAACATAATCTAATTTGTTTTTTAAGGAATGCAGAGAATTGCCCCGGAGTCTCCTTCACAAAACTCTTTCCCTGAACAGAGGGAGGAGGATTTCTATGGCAGAATGGCAAGCATGGTATCTTTATTTCATACATCTCTTGAGCAAGTGTCAGCTGCATCGCAGGTCTTTGCAAACACAAGAGTGTATTGGGGCTCTGTCTTGCTCTTCAGCAAGACTTGAAGCTTAGTTTTTCTTTCCCACTGTCCTTCCCCTTCAGTAAAATAAATAACAAAAAACTAGTAGAAAAATTTTAGCCATAATTTTCTTCTCTAAAAATACTTTTTTTTTAATAAAAAAAGGGTGGTGGAGGGGGGAGAGTTATCAGGCTATTTTCTGAAGAGTTTAGTTTGTCTTTCTCTGCACTGCCTTCCTCTCCAACTTGCCAGAATGATTCTTCATAGCCAGAAGAACTTGTAGCATATATCAGTGAGGCAAGCAGGCCCTAAAGAACAGTTCTGTGACTGAATTTTAAAAGCACAGCATTAACTACCAGCTAGTCATGACTGGAAATGGAGAAGTTGTTTATCAAAATCCCAACCCCCTTTTAAAAATACATAGTATTTTCACTGTTTAAATATCACTGAAGTTGGTATCTCCTTTGAAGTTAGTCTCCTGAAGTGACAATTGCTTGAAAGAATTAATATAAATATTTTTAATAGGGATACATTTGGCAACTGATAAAGGATGAGGAGACTTTAATTAGAAATTAACCATAGTTATAGAAGAAACAGTGATTTTTTTTTTTTTTTTTTAATGCTTGAGTTGCTTTACAAATGTTAGAAGAAAAACCTAATGTTAAAGTGGAAAAAAAAATGCAGCAACCATTCCCTAGAGCAGCATATTTATATCTTTCCCCTTGTGGGCTGGTTAGCCTGCATATCAGTGCCCTAATTTAACTCTTTTTAATGGACCAGTTATAGTACAATTATTTGGCCAGCCTTCAGCTTTTTTTCTGTACGTCCTATATGTCAGAGGAGATAGAAGTACCCAAATAACCAGCTTGAATATCTTTTAATTGTGTGGGTATTCTTGATAAAAAGTGAATGTTGTGCCAGATATTTAGCTGCTTGCTTATTATGCATGTCCTGGCTTTATATCTAACCAGGCACCAGGACGAAGATCCAGATCTGCATCTCAGTCTTCAGCACATATGGTATGCCATGAGCAGGCTGTTTCTTTCACTAAATTTTCATTCTTTATGTTTATTTTTTATGTGCTTTTGTATCTCTTTCTATTACTAAATTTTCAAAGAAGGAATTTGTTTGGCAAGATGAAATGTAATACCAGTGACAACTTTATACCTCCCTGTATGTAACACAGGGCTATGGGCGAAGATCCCGAACAACTTCAGAGTCCTCTGCTCATTCTGTGGGACGAGAGAGATCCAACTCTGCAGCAAAACAGCCCTCTCCTCCTCCCTCTGTTCCTGCAGGGAAAGAGACTAAAAAAGAAATAAAAAATGAGCCAGCACCTAGAAAGGTAAGCTTTCCAAGAAAGGTAGCTATAGCTGGTGATTTATTAGTATATGTGGTAACTTCTGGTCCAGGGTACTGAATTGAGATGTCCTGACTAAACTGTTTCTATTTAATCTGCCTGTAAAGACAGTGTTGAAAGAATTAACTGAATAGGTGAATCTATTTTTAGACTGGTGCAAATTGGTTTCGCTGGCTGATGGGAAAAGGAAAGAATGAAGCTCACCTTCCAGATGACAAGAACAAATCAGTAAGGCCCCTAAAGCACAAAAACCCTTACACATTTTAATTTGTTCAAAATGTTTTCCTGGATGACAGATGAACATTGTTTTGTCAAGTAAACAAATGTGTGTAAAACTTACAAGCTTATGCTTATTCCAAGACTGTTTTTTTAAATAAAATTGTTACAATTTTTTTTTTTGGCTTAACAGCTTTGAACTCCTAATATTTGTGATTTTCTTGTAGATTGTTTGGGATGAGCAGAAACAACGCTGGGTTAATCTGGATGAACCAGAAGAGGAGGTAAAAATCTGAGTACTCATTATTTCTCAAAGTGGAAAACTGTACCAGCACACAAATTTCTTTAATTGCCATTGGTTATTAAGATCTGCCTTTTACTGAATTTGGATTAAAATGTGCAACATCTTGAAACTAACGAACAGGTTACATGTTTTTATAGTCTTTGTCCTTATGGAACCATTTGTATCTTTAGTTTCTGGTGTGAATCCAGTAATTGCGATTTGAATTTACAAGGGAATTTGCTTTAAAATTAGTCCAGTGTATCTTTTCATGGAAATTGGCATCACCTAGACAATTGCTTGTTAATTGATTTGCTGCAAAGAGAGTATGGGGAAAATAGGTAGGAAAAGTCTGTCGTTTTGAAAAAATGTAATGCATTGTATAGCAAAGAAAATTACACATCCTGTCCATCCTTGTCTTTCAAGGATCTGTCTCAAAACACAAACAAATTAGAAGAACCCTGTTGTAAATGTTTCCTTTTAGAGTTGGGTGTAGATGGGTTGTAGAAATGCCTTGATATTACATGGCAGATGAGGAATATTGGTCTGCACTACAAGATGTATGTGTGTATGCCCAATTTTACATGTTCTGGAATAGGTAAGGAGAAAGAGTAGTCAGACGAATATTTGGTTTAAAAATCTCAGTCAGTGATGTGGTTGGATTATTATTGGGTTTTTGTTCTCCCTGCAGAGTAAGCCTCCACCGCCACCTCCAACAGGATTTCCTAAAGTCCCTCAGACTGCTCCCCCTGGGCCTGGAAGCCCACCTAGTGCCCCTGTCAACATGTTCTCCAGGAGAGCAGGTAACAGACATCATTGATGCCTGAAGTATGGAAAACTTTATATTTTTCTCTTGCATAAAATGTGAAGGCAGAAGTCCTGGCTTTTCTAGAGTTTGGGAACAGTTGGCAACTTGGTGATATCATGGAGCTGTGGCTGTTGCTGGCTTTGCTTGTGCCTAGCTTCTGCACTGTGCTGTCACGACTGTATTGTGACTTGGGTATCATTGTTTGTATCCCTGGAGCATTATTTTCTGATTGTGAAAGATGCCTTAACCAGCAGACTGTTCAAAATATATGGGGATGACTAACACAAGGCTTATTTCTGTTGTTTCTGGGTTTTTCTGTTTTAGCTGGAAGCAGAGCCCGTTATGTTGATGTCCTGAATCCGGGTGGAACCAAGTCAAGTGGTGCTCTTCCTGCACCATCAGACCTATTTGCCCCCTTGGCACCAATGCCAATTCCTGCAAATGTATTTGTTCCAAACTCAGGTGTGTCATGAGTGGATAAAACTGTAAGGAGATTGTATGGTTATTTATGGTTGCCTTAAGTCACTTTTGATAGTGCGTATTATGAATATGTAGCCTTTAACGAATATTTAAGAATGTTCAAATCTCATTAACTCCAGTTTTTGGTTTAGAAGTAGAATCAATCTGGGAACTAAACAACTGGGTTAGTAAAGCCCAGTGCTGCATGCTGCAAACAAAGGGGTTTTCTTTTTTTCCTTTTTTCCTCCTGCCCTGTTGCAGAGTGGCTAGGCAATCCAAGCATCAAAATTTGAACCGTGTAGTATTCCTGTGTTGATGAGTATCTTGTGCTCACTTCTGACACATGTTCCTAGTTCCAGAATTGTTACTTGGAAAAAGAAAGGGCAAAGTCTTACTGCATGCTTGCTTACCATCTTTTTTTTTTCTGCTTTCACTACACACTGTGTTCTGTATAAACTGTATCCATCTCCTGCCTGCAGACTTGTAACAAGACTGGGGCATCTAGAGAAATTAACACTGCACTCTCTTAATTACCTTTTTTCCTGGGAGAAGATTGGTATTGTAGAAATTCAGTCACTGGTATGGTGTGTCTGGCTGAATCCTATTTCCGTTGTAGTTCCAGGAGAACCCCAGCCAATGGAAGGGAGTGGTGCAGCAGAGCACACACCAGCTGCAAATCAAACCAACACAGATCCTGCTGCAGCTGCTGAACCAGAGGTGGGTTAGAAAGAATGTCTTGTGTATATATAATTCAAACTTCTGATTAAAAAACCCTCATGATTCTGAATAGTAGTTTCATAGCCACAGTACGTACAAAGCATGTTGCTGCAGTGATTACATGTATGTAACATTTTAGTTAACGAACTGGATAAAGGAAGTGGAAGTGGGAAGCCCATGAAAAGTTGCATTTCCTAATTTGTCAAGGCTGCAGGTTCTGTGTGTGCAGTATGTGTTAGGGAAGGGACCAAGAACACAGGAAGAGCCAAACAGTTCATGTTTCACCTGGCTTGATGTAACCTTGTTTTGCTTCAGTGGGATAAATATAGCAAAAATGTGAAACAGCATCATAGTAAAAAAGATAAACAAAAGTGCATTGTTTTCCTTTAGTATTTAAACCCTGCAATCCTTCCTCCTGGATCTGGACTTTCTGTTTCTAACCCTGATGGCTCCCAATCAGGCGAGGTAAGGCTTGGTTCAAAGTAGTTAGCTAATGACTTTTGCAGCATATTTTAACCATTAATTTGTAGTGGACTTAACATGGGCCATCTAAAACAACAAGTAACTGATTCAGTTGCTGATGAGTAGCCAAGATGGAATCATATGACTGCCTCAGATTGTACAGAAAAGACCTCTAAGCCCATATGAGTTCAGCTTCTGTGTCCTACATTCTGTGGTGTGATCTCCTTTTTCTATATAAGTAAACTTTTACAAGCCTTTTTCAGAGTAAAATGTCAATATCAGTTTGAGGATCTCTTCTTGCCTCCATGCATGCGTATAATTTCACTAATATTAAGTGCAAGACACAACAAGGAAAACAGATTGCTATGTGCTAGGCAGAGTAACATTATCTTTGTTCCTACTAAATGTTTTCTATATCTACATAATTTTGTGCTTTAAGAGGTCCTTTTGATTTAAACTAACTTCTGGCTTTACATTTTTTTTTTTAACTTGAAGTTGGTTTAACCTTTGGCAGTGAGACTTTTAAAATTAAATAAAACAACTGAAAGCTTGGGGCAGTGACATGCATGACGACTTTTTTTATTTGTGTTTTTTTGTATTTGTGTGTTCTTGCTGTTTTGTAGCTTTCGCGCTCTAGTTCAATGAGTTCATTATCACGTGAAGTAAGCCAGCATTTTAATCAGGTACATGTGGCTGGCCATTCTCATTTATGTTAACTTATTTACTTTTCCCCTCTTTATTTTGCATTTGCTCAGATATTTACTAATGCTGCTTTTAGTCATTTTCCTCCCTTCCCATTTCACAGAAATAACATTAGAAGTAACTAATGATGTAGTGTTCCTTTTAACACTCAAACAGGGTCTTCAGATCTTTTTGTATTTAAGAGAATGCATGTAATCCAGGCATGCTTTTTGTTTATGTTCATGTTCCTAAGAGATCCACTTAGTAATTTTGATCATCTCTTTCCTGAGATACCAAAGTAGTCAGTTGATTTTAAACAAAAAAAAAACAAAACAAAACAAGCAAACAAACAAAACCTAAAAAAACCTCACATAAGTAAAACCTTCCCGTTCTGCTGCTGCCAGTCTCAAATCAGTAATAATACCATTACCCGTTTCATGTGCAAAAGCCCCTGTAGGAATTAAAGGAATGCTTCATCTCTGCTGAAAGTTCCAGTACTGTGGGGTCACCATAAAGGGGTGACACAAATTCTTTCTGATATTTCTTAGTAAAGCAAAACTTGACATAGAATGTTTATTTTGGGGCAAGTCCTAAGGTCTACTAACAAAAGCTGAAGGTACTAATTCAGTAAAGTCACACCGGTGTCTTGTCTTGGTTTTGCATGCTTTGGATTTTCAGAGCTATTTACAGTTTATGCATGTGACATTGTTTTGCCAATTCCTACATTAAGCAAGTAATATTAAAGATATGGATGCAAACGGTACCAGCACTTTTTGCAGTTGTTACAATATGCTGCGCTCTCCATATTGTTGGCATTATTACTGTGAATATTCGCTCTTTATGACTAAGCAAACCACATTTGAGAGGCAGTGAAGCTCTGCAGTTCCGTAACTTCAGTATTATCTACTTTCTAGGCTGCTACTGTACCACCTTCAGGGGGACCTTCAGCAGGAACAGTACCGTTCTACAATCCTTCTCAATTTGCACAAGTGAGTAAAGGTGGCATCTTTACTTTGAAAACCATAGAACAGGACCATGATTTTGTGTTTTGATAGCTTAATCTGGGCTGTTGCATGTAGAGTGTTAAATGTGCACATAAACCAGTCTAGCACCTGTTTAACAGGTTTGTGTTCAAAATTTGATTGCCAACTTTGTATTTTGTCTCCAGCATGACAATTCTACAGAACATTTTTTTTTTTTTTATTCCTGTTCTCCTTTTTCAGTCTCCTGCAGCCACTGGAAGCTCAAGACTGGGAAGAATTGGACAGAGGAAATATCCCACATTGAAGTAGAATAAAGTGGCTTTGTATTTGGAATTCTCACTCATGTTCTGAGTATACAAAGAATGATTCAATCTTATGGCACATGGTATCAGTACTAGCTGGAGTTGACATGACGGACATGTAATGATGGGTGATTTTTTTCATGGGTCTCCCTACTTGCACCTCATCTACACAAATCATTACCAAACATGAAATATATGTAACTTTTCCTTTTTAAAAAAACTGGCTAGGAATAGCTTTGCTGTGATAAAGAATAGACACAAGGGAGGAAATAGTTGCTGTCTGTTACAAAAACTATTTGTAAATTGCATAGGCAATTTATTCCTTAAGTTTATTTTAAACCTACTAGTGTGACCTTTGAAGACATAGTTTCAGGGATTCCTTAATTTCTGAAGGATGCTCCCCTCCCAGCAGGGGAAAAACATGTCCACATTGTAACATAACACTCTGTGGCCTTAAGAGGACCATGCACAATTGTCATGCTTATCAAACAGGACTTGGTTTGTCAGTGTATGAAATCGGAGATGTTCATCTGGGAAATGCCTCATGCTGGTTTGGTTTCTGAAGTGGGGAAGTGGGGAGGGGGCCACAGCTCATCCAAATAAATTGACCTATATTGAATGAAAACTGTGACTGTAATCTAATACTAATTTGATCGGGATCTTACCTAGTATGTATGTAGTTTGTGGTTTAGACTACTTGTAAAGCAAATTGTATAGTCTGAAAGGAGCTCTCTGTATAATAGCCAATGCTGTACTATTTGATGAGTGAGTGTTCTTTTAAGTGCAATACGGTTACTTGCTTTCTCTCAAACTGCTGGCACCGTTCAATTAAGGTGGTAACAGCTTGAACGTTGGCTTTTTTCTTGTTGAGTGCCAGAATCAGCGTAGTACTCTGTTCTTGAATTTCCATTACTAAAATAACCAAGGTCTTAAATAGCTAACAGCTGAATTTCAAACATACTAAAAGTTAGAGGTTAGACCTCTACCGATGGACTTCAAAATCTTGAGGTTTAATATAGGGAATCTTGAAAACCTTGATATGCAACGTTCATATTCACTGAAGAATCTGAATTATCTGCAAAGAGAGAAATAAACTTTAAATATTTATTAAATCTTTAGGCCACATTTTATTTAGAACTTGCCACCAAACTATTTGATTTTACTTGAATTTCTGCCCATGAGTAGAAAAAATGTGAATGTGAAATTGCCAGTGTTGGTCCCCAATTTGTTTTCTTTTCCTGAATAATGCCACCTTTCTGAGATATTGATAGCCTTATGTATGTCCTAAAAGGTTGGTATGTAGCTGAAGCAAAATGCTGTTTGGGGGGATTAGAACTTTGTATAATGGTCCATACTCAATTCCAGACGTGGTCAGCAGCAGTCAGTGTGGTTTACTTTTGTATAATTGAAACCTAGTCAGACACTTGGCTTTCCTCTAGTTCAGCCAGGCTGCTGATGATTTTCTCCTTTCAGTAGAGACTGCCAAACAACTTAATTCAAGAAGGCTTCCTCTGAGCTGGGAGCAGCTATCTTTCCTAAGTGTAAGATTTGACACTGTAAATTCTTAAATAAAATATTTTGCGCTCTGGAGCACTTTCACATTTTACTTCTTCTTGTGGTTATTGCTTTAACAAGCTGGGTGAAGGAACCTCTCTTGTACTTTTGGAAGTAATCTGTTTCAAGAAAAGGAACTGCTCTATGCTGGAACCAGCTTCAGCCTCAGGGTTGTGTGTGAGTGTCTTCACTGAAATGTTCAAAATTGACGCTGTCGGCTTAATGTAAGCAAATTTTTTTTTTCTTTTTTCTGAAGCGTAAAAGGCTTTGCTTTTAAACCGCTTCTATAAATGCCGCCTTTATCGGGAACGGATCGCGACAGCCGCGGTGTTTTTAAGGTTGATTTATGTATTTATTTATCGCCGTCCCCTCAGGGCCTGGGGAGCGGGGCGGGCTGGCGGTGCGCTCCTCCCGCCGCCAGGGGGCGCTGCCGCCGCCCGCGGGGCGGGCCCGGTGTCGCCGCCGTTGCTCCGGCCGGGCCGCGGGCGCGCAGCGGGGCTGGGGCGGCTGCCACCGCCGCCCGCTCGGCCCTCCCGCCGGGCCGGGGCCGCTGCCCGCCCCGCTCTCGGGCTTCTGTGGGGAAAAGTGGCCTTCACCGCGCCCGGGTGGAGCCGGCGGGGCCGCGCGTCCCGCCCGTACCGGCGGATCGAGGTGTACGGGCGAGGCCGGCGGAGCGGCGGCGGGCCCGGCAGGTCGGTGAGCGCGTCCGGGCCGCGGCCGCGGGGGGCAGGCCCGTGGGTGGTCGTGTCTCCGGTGCCCGCGGCCGTGGGGAGTCTTACCCGGCCTCTGCCCGCCTGGGGTTGGCAGCGGTCGTCGTGGGGAAGCGGGTGGGGTAGAAGGTGAGGCGAGAGGAGCTGGCAAAGCGCTCCCGCCTCTCCGGTCGGGAGAAAGTGGGCGGCTTCCCCCCCCCTCAGGTCCAGAAATAGCGTTCTGGGGTGCCTTTACAGGATTTTGCATTCCCAGTGCAGAATACAAAGCCTACCGCTGCAGGTGGGCAGTTTGGTTTGCAGTAATTGCAGACTAACGAGGTGCTTCCCCCCCACCCCAAGTAGGAGCTTGCCCTGCACCCCGATCACGTATCCCTAAAACTAATCCTCAGATACTTTCTCAGTCCCAGCAGCGGTGGCTGAGGGTTGGCGCAAAGCAAGAAAAGGTGGCAGTGATGTCCCTGCTCTGTGATCACCATAGAAGCTGAGGTCACTGGAAATTTCCTGGCCTCTGGCACGGCGTGCTGTGGGCAGCCTGGAGGCTGGTCGTACTGGTGACTCACTCACTGCATAGCAAGGAGAGCAAGCTGTGATTTATGTCCAGTTTTAATTTCCTTTCATGCTAACAGTATACACAACCTTGTCTTAAAGAAGTCTGTACGCAGCCATGATGCTTACAGCAGCGAGGAAATCAGTTCACTGCTCTGCTCTTGAAAATAAAATAGCATTGGTCTTCTGACAAGGTCATGTTAAGTTTGAATTGTTCTAGAGGAAGGTCCTGTGAGGAGCTTGCTTTCTGATTAAGGAGCAGAGTTCACAGCTCAATAACTTTTCATTTTTACATGTTTCTCTTGGGGAAATCCAGGTATCCCACCTCTTGAAAATTTGCAGACAATGCATCTGCCTACACATACACCTGCCCTTCATTCTCAACTAAAGACTGAGCCGTTTTCAATTTCCATGTCTTTCTGGCTTTGTTAAAGCTGTGTGAACCTACAGGGTAAGCGAGGGAAGGAAATTATGCTGTGAGGAACTTTTCCTATGGAGCAGTGTCCATAGCTGGTACCTGGGGGAGAATGACTACTCCAAATGGATTTCCACAGCACTCAGGGGCCTGTGTTACTCAGAGCACGGAGGGTGGAGCAGTCCAGGACCTACACGCTAAAAAAGCTGGGAAAGCAGCAAAGGCAGCAGCTGGTACCAACGGGGTGCTTACCTTTGAAGATTCTCCAAGTGTGGGCGCTTCTTTAAATGAAACCTTAAGGCTTTTACCAGATGAACTCAAAACTAATATGAAAATTAAATCGGTCACTCCAAGGCCTCCTCGGAAACCCCGGTTAGAGCGCGCTGCATCTCTGGATGAGAAAAGCTGGAGGAGGTGGCGGCGGTTTAGAACAAGTCAGGAAAGTCTGACTGATCCCAATGAGACAAGTTCCTCAAACGGTTCTCTTCAGGAAGCATCCCTCAGCCCTCCCATCAGGGGTAGGGCAAGCCCCTGCCATCAGTGCTGCCAGGAGATTTCCTTGCGCAGTTCACCAGATGCCTCGGAAGCCAGTCCCGTGGGGAAGAGCAGAGGAGGCGCCTCCGACCTGGGGAAACGAGCCTCCGAGATCTCCAGTGCCTTTGGTGGCCTTCTGCGGGGGAAGGCGTTTGCAGGCGGCAAACCCCGTCTGTCCCAAATAATGCCGGCTCGACCTCTGCCACCCATGGAGCTCAATGTGGCCTCTCACACCCTGAGGACAGCTAATAGGATCGACTCAGATTGTATGGATTATCGACATTATTCTCAGCACAAGTTTGGGAGGGTAAGCAGCAGCTTGAGCGATACCAGGCTACATGGCAACGGGATGGTCTATGATAATTGCTCCACAGACTCCATGAAATCTACGTTCAGCCTGCTCACTCCCATTCGCTCCAAGGATGTTCGAAACAGGTATGTCCCCCAGCTTCTCCTGGCCAAGTTTGGGGTGTGTTAGCGGGGAGCCAGCTGCCCTGCAGAATCCTCCTGGGCAGGGGCAGGAAACTGGAGACCAATTGGTAAAGCACAAAAGTTGTTCTGTGTTGTTTAACCAGCTGTGGAGACTGGAAACAGTTTGAAGATTATGAGATTAATACAAATACTCTCTGCTTGCTCCTCTCAGCTGGGTATTGTTTTTTATAAATATAAGTTTGATTTGCTCTCAGCTTGCAATTTTAAGCAATCTGTTTGAAAATTAAGAAACAGTAGCTGTGCGTGCTAACAGTTGGGAAAAACTATTTTTTTTTTTTTTTTAATCTAAACATACGTTGGGCTTGAGCTGAAATGTTAAATGACAGGAAAAAAAAACCACAAATATTTTCACTTGAAACTATCATGCAGTACATACAGTACTGTCACAGTCCTGTAAGGTGCTGAGGGTCCTCTGCAGATGTTGAGCTTGTTTGGCTTCTGGCAGGATCAAATCATGTACCGTGGACCACTTCAGTGTCCCACAGGAGCTCCAGCTTTTCCAGGAATCTCTTGAGGAAGAGCATGCTTCCACTCAGATCTCAGCACTTTCTCCTAGCATGGCCCTGACCTCTTGCTCTGGTTGCTCATTTGTCTTCATTCTCAGTTAAGTTTAGATTATTCACTGGAGGGAGCTGAGGTGGGTGTATTAATCTGCTTGCTGGTTTATCAAATCCTCTTCTTGTGTTGGCTGCAGACCCTCTGTTTGTAAAGACCCACCAGCACACAGCACAAACACTGCAACGAGTATTGATACTAGTGCAGGTCAGGAAACATGTTAAAAGGTAAAGGATACCACGTACTCAGCTAAAGGTTGTATGTTATAGGCACACAACAGTCTGCAAGATGTTGATAGATAAATCTGATCATTTATCCAAAGAGTGGGTCAGGGTACGGGAGCAAGTAATTCTGAGAGAAGTGCATAAGGTTACTAACTGGTTAAAAAGCCCCAAAGATAGATTACTACTTGTTTGCCATGAGGGTTTTATTTCACTTCCCTCTGCAAAGCTGTTGAAGTTGGGTGAGCAGCTGGGTAGACCAGTGGGTTGCACAGCATTCCCTGACATCATGCTGTCATCATTATTTATAGAGCTTAAACAAGATAAAAAATGCTTATTCAGCTCGCAGTCCTTTTGCCAATACCCCTTGCTTTTGTAATGAGCATGTTCTTTGGAGAGGCAGGTGGTATGGGGCAGATCCATCCTTTTCAAATGTGATAATCATTTAGACCTCAGCCTCTGTAAATTGTTTACTTGAAAGATGATTTGATGAGCTGAATTGAAGGAAGAATGTGAGTTTGAATCCTTGATTAGGAGCAACTTGGTGCCAGAACACTAGGAATGGTGGAGCTATTTTCATGTTTTAGGTACACTGAGCTGCTTCAAGATACTCATATATCAAACCAATCTCTTAATTCTGTGTCTGTGATAAATACTAGAGGGATTGAAGACTTTGGATGGCTTCAGTCATCACAGAACTTGTGCAGCATCAGTTTCACCATTACTCGTGTTCTGGCTTTGAAAAGGCCAGCTTATGACAATAGTGTTGTTTTCTTGCATGTGATCCATGAACTCTCTATAAGGGTTGGAACTTTATAAGGAACTTTAGTCAAGCAGAACAATATATAAATACTGAATGCCATTTTCTTGAGCTAAAGGTATGTTCTTGATGAACTCAAGATTCAAGTGTTACAAATCATTATTCCAACTGTCATGCCATTGCCTTAGATGCTCTTTAATGGGTCTTCCATTCACAGAAGCTATTTGGAAGGCAGCCTTCTGGCAAGTGGTGCCTTACTGGGAGCAGAAGAACTTAGCAGATATTTCCCAGATCGGAATATTGGAATCTTTGTGGCCACCTGGAACATGCAGGGTCAGAAGGTATGTGCACATAAGTCTCTTGGCAGTGGTAGAGTTACCCCATTTTTACTGCAAGGACTGGTGCAATGTTTTTTTTTCTGTTCATGACTATGTTCCCCATCAACCTGAGTTTCATCATCTTTATCAGATTACAGGACCCTCTCATGCATGTTCATCTTAGTGAGAGGCATTGTAACAGGGTTCCCCAGACACTAGGTATGAGAACAGTGAGCTTGCTAGGGCCACTCTGGCTTTTTGTGGCAGCTCCTTTACGCTCCATTGCAATTACGGTCAGATGAAGATGGCTGATAATTTAGTGGTTATGATGAGAACATCTCTGATAGAGAACACAGCCTCCTGCCCACATCTTTACGTACCCTAGCGATTCGAGACTGATTCTACCAGCTGACTGAGAATCTGTGCTTGGAAGAACACAAGCAAGCCCTGGGCCTATGAGCTTGGTAAAAAGTAAGCATCACAGGAAATTAGAAACATCACATTACTGGCCCACATGGCTGAACTGTGGAATCTTGGTTACTGCTGGAGCGACAGCAGTTGAAGTCTGCCTTTGGGAAGGAGCATTTTAGTATTATCGCGTAACCTATTTTTTGAAGCCTGAATTGTTTGCATATGCTGTGGAACTTGTATCCTGGACTTTTCTTGTACTTTTCTAGTAAATCTTTGCATAATGAATATTGCTATCTTATATTTTTTCCCTTTTCTCTCTTTTTTTTTTTTTTTTTTTTTTAAAAAATAATAGGAACTTCCAGTGAATCTGGATGACTTCTTATTACCAACAGATCCTGACTATGCCCAGGACATGTATGTCATTGGGGTTCAAGAAGGCTGTCCAGACAGGTAGCAAAAACAATGTAATGAACCATCCTCTTTTATTGTCAACTAATTATTTTGGGTTTAATTAGTCTGAAAATAGTCTCCATCATATTCTTAGTGTTTTCAGTAAACAACCTTTTAATAAGACTCTGAATTCTATTGCATGAGCACTAGAGGAAGTGGGTCTTAGGAGAAAATATCAGAAAAATCTGTAAATACAAAAGTTGGTCCTGTTGTGAGGGCAGGTAATAGCAAAACTCCTGTCTGATTTCTGTGGGCATCTTACCATAGATGCGAGCTGGCTGTGAGCTAGCTCACGGGCTGGCTGTTAGCCTTAGCAGCCACATGCTCGTTAGTAGTACACTGCTGCAAATTTCTAGTCTGTCTGAGATTGACCCACCCTAGAAGAGCAGGTTGGAGCCTCGTGTCAGACTCTGCTTTCTTAGGCTGTCTTCCCAGTGGGCCTCTCTTTTCCTCAGATTTGCAAGCTGCTCAGTGCAGTGACAGTTAATAATCTCTCACCCCGCTGCATGGCATGTATGGAGCTACGTCAGACTGAACAGCCTTTGCTGCAGCATTTCTGTGGCAGTGGAGGGTTTGCTTATGCTTACTTGGCGCTCTTTATCAGAAGGATTGCTGTTTTTACAATGCTGATTTCCTTTCCTGGTTATTGTCTCTTGTACTGTCCTTGTGAGTCAACTGTTGTTCTTTCCTGCAGAAGAGAGTGGGAGATCCGCCTGCAAGAGACGCTGGGCCCTCACTATGTCATGCTCTACTCTGCTGCACATGGGGTGCTGTACATGTCAGTCTTCATTCGGAGGGACCTGATCTGGTTCTGCTCAGGTGTGTGATCCAGTAAGAGCTGGAAAGTGGGGAGGTGAAAGGTCTGTTGCCATCAGGTGTCTTGGCTTTTTCTCCAGGGCCATCCCTCGCTTAACTTTCCTGCTTGCTGTCTTCAGAGGCTTTTCGGTAAAAGCAGCTTCTTTTTCTCCTTCCAGAAGTGGAGTACGCCACGGTGACAACTCGAATCGTATCTCAGATCAAAACCAAGGGAGCTCTGGGAATCTGCTTCACATTTTTTGGGACCTCATTTCTCTTCATCACCTCTCACTTCACATGTGAGACATTTACAGTCTTGTTAGCAGTGTCCTTACAGAGGGAGGAGGGTAGTTGCTTTACAAAGGTAAAAAAGGTGCACGGGGATAGAGGAACAGGACAGACTGAAGTCACAGCTCAGGATTGCTGAGCTGAGAACAATAAGGGAGGAGGATTTTTTGGTAGCAAACTTACAGGAGCCCTGTGTTTAGAAAAACAGAAATGAACTCTGCACAACTGTATCCCTTTTCCCATACTTTCTGTCAGTGTTTTTCAGTCTGTATGCTCCCTGGGTCAGTGTGTTACATTTTACATGTGGAAAATATCTGATGTTCTTTGGAAGCTCCCATTATAACCAAAAATGGTAATTGAATGAACATGATGCATCGTTGGCAGTAATGGGTTTTCTGTCTTTCAGCTGGGGACAGTAAGGTGAATGAGAGGAAACTGGACTACAATAAAACCATTCAAGCCCTTACGCTTCCCAAGAACGTTCCGGACACAAACCCGTATCGATCCAGTTCTAGTAAGTGTGAAACCATGCTTGTGTGGGAG